TTCTGAAATACCCACGCGATGTTAGATTTGACACAGTGAATTGATGATCACGTAAAAGACCTCAGCTCTTGAAGATGCATATTTTTAGCTCCCAGTGTGGTTAGTAGCTCTATCTAATTCTCCTTGAAGCCTCAATTTCACTGAAAGCCAACTGTCTGTGGTAGGCATTCAGATAATTATTTGGCCTATTCAAGTGATAATGCACTACAGAGTTTACAGGTTCCTGAAAAAACTAAGAATGGGAATAAATCAGCCATCTAAAAAGAAAATTTTCTCATAAAAGAACTGAGAAAAAGCAGATAATGTGAGACAGGAGAATTAACTTCTTGTCCTAAAAGCTCTCCTAATAACAACAGCATGTAATTTGTTCGATCTTTCACACTACGTGTCAAGCAATGGGTGGAATTCAGTGCAAGTTTGCTGACTCCAGAATGGGAAGAATAGCATCACCTGTATCAAGTGCTTCCATGGACAGGTGCAGGACCATGACCAGCCTTCCCCAGGGCTGCAAGTTCTGCTTTTTCCTAAAGATTGCCTCAGCTGCACACTGTATCTGCTGCAGTAGGGGTGCAGCATGCGCTGCCGGCAGGCAGCAGTGTGGGATTAGCATGGATCTGCCCCACCATGGGCCTTGGCCACCAGGAGGGGACAGCTCGCTGCCTGCTGGCCAGAGCCACGGCCGTCTGTTCTGTGGTTACCACACCACGGACTCGCCTCCAGCACCAGTTAAACCAACTGGTTAAATGACAAGTCTTAAGAGATTTGCAGGTTTTAGGGTTAGAAGAGGGCGGTTTGGTCTAAGTTCCATTAGTGAATGCTAAATAGGCAGAATGAACCTTTTGTTGAACAAGAGCATACCTCAAGAGAAATCAAACCTGGACTGAAAACAGTGAAGATTTCACCACCTCCAACAGTAAACTGCTCTGACCCTGAAAACCTTATTTCCAGTTGAGTTTAACCTACTTGGAGCAGCAGGTGATATCACACCCTGTAGCACCACAGGTTTCCACCTTCTGCAAAGAAATACAAGCTGGGAACAAGTTCCACAACACCTCAGCCAGGCTTTGCCATCATCACAACCCTCAGCCCATCCCACCCCCAGCCTTCCCCAGCACACCCACAAACTCCACCAGGTCTCTGGTGTTACTGCAGGAGCCTCCTCATCAGGAGGAACAGCCACCCAGCTCTGCCCTGCGAGCTTCACAGACCCAGTGAGCCACGAGCTCAACAACAGAAGCAGCCCTTTGTGCACAGGAATAAAGTGAGAGCTGAAAACATCATTAGCGACCAAAAAGCATCCAGAAGTGTTTTCCTTTCTGAGGTCAGATAAGAATAGCAGTGATGAGCTGCTGTTCTAGCAGCGTGTTCCTCGCACTCTTTGTGTCTCATTATGCCGTTTTTCAGGGCCGTTGTCATAGTAGTCTGCGAAGAACCTTATGTAAGAAGAAGGATGATGGTTCTGCAGCTTGTTAAAAAAGAGCATTTAACAGATAAGTGCTAATGTTCTAGATTAGGGATTCTTGCTCCCTTACACTGTGCTGGATCATGTAAGCACATGAATCACTTGCACTGCAAAGTATACATCCTCCCATCAGCTCAGAGTTGAAGATTACAGTGTCTACTCATGAAACTGTGGCATCAGTAGAACAAAAATAAGAATAAAATCTGCAGTCACACAAACAAAACTACTGATTCCTTGTTTCTCATGAGAAACAACTCCTTTGACTTATACCCTTGTTGTATTTACTCTTCTACATTCGTGCCCATCATTTCCACATTCCAGGGCAGCACAACTGCAAGTGAATCAATGGGATTTATGTGACAGACAGGGACTCACTGCCCCTCTGCAACTTTCATGTATGTCTTTTTAAATAATGCAGACCTTTTGCCAAGAAGACATAGTGTTGCTTTCGGGAAGGTCACTGGACTTTGGGGAAATATGCTTTCAATCTTTATTCTTCCCACTGATTGCTTTGGGGAAGAAGCTTCTCTCTTCTGAGCACACACCAGCACGGCCTCCTGCCAGCCCCAACTCATTGCAGCCAAGCAATGGGCTGGTGGGAAGGGGATGGAGATGCTCCTGCCATGCCACTGCCAGCCTTGGGATGCTCTGTTCAGCTCTGCTTCCACCAGGGATGGGTCATTTATTAGCAGCTCGAGGCCAGAGGACACAGCTGCAGATCTCATCTGCTTCCCGACCTGTGCCTTCAGCTCCATCACAAGATTTTTTTCTTGCACTATCTTTTCCACCTTTCTCACTTCTGTCCTTTTTTTCCTCATTTTCTCTCCCTGCCACCACTGCTTAAAGGCAGGGCTTCCACTCAGCGCCAGAGCTGCAGTACTGCTGAATCCCTTTCTCTTCTTTTCATCCATAAGTGAGATTGCTCAGAAAGGTGAAAATCCCAGCGAGAAGGCACATTAGCAAAAAGCACGCACTGAAAGCCCTGCAGGGACAGCTGCAAACTGCTTCACCTCACCAGAGCCATCCCCAGTGTGGAAACTACACTCCTTGTTCTAAATGTGAACTTTGAGGATTCTGACGTCTCTCTGGTGACACGCATCTCCAAGGACCCCAGAGTACTGAGCAAATTGCATGCTCCTGAATCACTCCAGCCATGGCTGGGGTGACAACTAACAAATGTCTGCCTTCCCAGGCCCACATTAAAGAACAGCTTTGGATGGGAAAAGGACTAAAACCCCGGCTTGGTAGTTTTGGGGCTTTATTGTGGGCTTTTCTTTTTTTTTTTTCCTGTTATTGTTAGGATACAGAAAATAAAACACTGACATGGACCTTGGATCTCAGTGTACTGGGGTTACTCAGAGGGAAAGTCGTGGTGTCCTTCTCATCTCCAGGAGGTTATCATCTTCTCATCTCTCCCAGAGACACTGGGCTTGGCAGGGAGGTGGCAGTGGAAGGCTGTGGGTGCAGCTCCCACCCAGCTTGCAAGGAGCGAGTGCGACCTCCTGCGTCACCTGCGGGTGAGATGCCACAAAGGACAAATGACCCCGCTTACCCTCCTCGCTCTGATCTCCTGCCAGCTCCCATTTCCACAGCCACTAGTGCAAAGGGCAGCTCGTTGTTGCAGGAATTCACGTGGGTTGCTTTTATGGTAAAGATCAAACGAGAGCAAAACCCCAGCAATGCAGGCTGGGGCTGGCTCCCTGCAGCAGTGGTGAGCGCCATGCTGGGAAGATGTGCTTCATCCCTTCAGCAACTCTCTATTTGGGGAGATGGACCACATATGGAGGTAAAGCCCAGAGGGACAAGGCCATGATGTTTTCCACGCCTATCCGCTCACCAAAAGCCATCATCTCCTATCCCCAAAGGTTCCACAGAAGCATCTCTGCCTGAGGCAATGTGGCCGTGGGTGAGTGGGTCTCAGCTGAGTGAGACCATCAGTGAATGAGAGCATCATGTACTTTCTTGTTGACCTGACAGTATACTCACACGCTACAGCTCTATTTTAACCCTGTGCTGGGATGATAGCAGCAGATTAAATCCTGGTGGAAACCAGTCCAGCCACTACACTTGCAAAAGCACGTTCTCACACATGCAGTAGCATCACCAGGGTGAGTGGCCTTTTGCCCTGGGAGAGGGGCTGGGTGCTTGCCAGTAAGCAGCCACACTCCTGCTCTACAGGCTGCATTTTCAAGTGCTGTGTAGCAAATCCCTTTTCAGCACACTGCATTGAAAATAGGGTTCAAGAAGACATAAAGAAGCCCCAATAGTCAAGATGCTCGTGTTCTTTGAGTAAAGCCTCCTCCAAATTCTGCTGAGTCTGAAGAAGGCCCACAGGAGCTTCTGCACGTACGGTGTGAGCAACCAGTGGGCTGCTGCCAGTGGAGTGCTGCCATTTGTGTTTTGCAAGTGTTGCCTCTTTCATATTGCTATTAACTCAAATCATGGCCCATCTAATTCGGGAACTCCTTGGTGACCAATATATCTTGGTGCCATGATGTTCGTGAGCAGTGGAAAGGAACAGCCCATCACGTTTTCCTAACTTCACACCACTGTGCGGTCCCTGCGGAGCCTCATTTCCTAATGCTACTCTTCCTGCAGCCAGCCTGTGCAGCAGATAAATGAGGAACAGATATTCTTATTTACTGAGAAGACCACAGCCCAGCCAGGCTCATCTTGCACAGCTGGAGATTTGAGTCCTTTTTCTGAGAAGCATCGGGACATCAGATCGAGGCCCCCAGCATGCAGTTGCATGAACCACTGGCTGCATTCATACTCACAGATGCATGGAGCACAGTGTGCAGGTAGTGCTCCATCTCTTTCTAAAACCAGCTCTTTCTAAACCCAGTTGCTCAACTTCCTGCAGCAACAAGGAGTGACTACACTATAGATGAAGAAATATTTCCTTCAGTTTACCCTAAATCCCAGCCAGTGCTGTAACCAGCGATTCCTTGTTTTGGCATTGCTGAGTGCTGTGATGAGCAGGAAGGCAAGGGTTCTCAATGGGCTCTCCAGGGACTGCTCTAGGGGATGTTCAAAGCCACTGTGAAATCTTTTCCATTTTCCCATTTCAGTCTTCATGACAGCTTCCATCAAAGTATCCTTTGCACTTGGTCTCTCCAAGGGCAGCAGTTGGAGCTGGGACACTTCCAGCTCGTTTTGCTACCCTGTCTGAGATGGTATTTTAAGCTGCAACTGCTCTATGTTTAACAAGCATTGTGTCAAGGGACTTACCTCTCATCACCCATACCCATCCCTTGTTCAGTCAGGAAGCTGCTAAATGCTTGTTCACATCATGGTGATAATTGCCTATGAGAAAAGGTCTTCCATATTTCATCTTCCATTGCACAACTGCACCAATCCAAATTCCTGCAGCTGACCTTTTCCTGCTGTTTCCTCCTCCTATATGAATGAACATAAATAGCTGAGACTTCCCCTCCTCTGCTCCCTTCTCTGCCCTTCCTGAGTACAGCTCAGAGCAACGTGGTCAACGATTTGCTCAGATCTGAAAAAAGCACAAGCAATTTTCATAGATGGGGCTTTTACTTTTCCTAGCAGCATAAACAGGATACTCTGCTCAAAATAAAACTAAACGCCTCAACATTATCTATCATGCACATATTATTCTCCAACTGAATGCTCCTATTTGCATGATGTTAAACACAAACCCAGGGAAATACAGCTTGTTTCAATAGATCAGGAATTTAAAGAAATCGCTCCATGCGCTATCATCTTTATCGACATCTTAAACTTCCCCCAGCAGAAAGCTGCCCAGAATGAGGGCAGCAAGAGCAAGTTCATCCTGCAGCATCCAGGAACGAACTGCCTCCCGCTGGAGCTGGGGCTTTCCTTTGGCCTTGGAACCAAGGAACTTAGGACTTTGGCTGCGCATGTTTATGTTTCCATCCCTGATCCAACGTCAGCTGGAAAAAAAAAGGCTCTGGGGGCTTTCTGTGCACAAGGACAAGCTCTCAGCCTGCTGCTGCCAGGACAGCAATGCCTGCAGAAGAAATGATGGCTGATGCCTGGCATCCACGCACCTAATGGTGACACTAGGATGGGCTCTGCAGGAAAAGCTGTGGCTGCAGCACGGGGAAGCCTTTGAAGTTGACGTTAGTGAGGTTGGAGATGGTTTGAACTGCAGAGGAGAAGTGATACGAAAAGAAAAGGCTTTTATACTGACAGTCAAGCTTAAGCCTGCCCTCGCTGCATGAGAATTGCGAGCTCAAAACTTAAAGGGGGAAAATGAAAGGGCTGGATTCAGTGGACACACAGCTCAGACTCAGCTGTCAGGGGAATAAAGTCTTTGATAAAGAAAATCCCATCCTCAGCTATTCCCACGGGTGGCAGCAGTTTCAGCAGCTCCAAAGGCCGGGCTGTGCCATCAAGGCAAGCACCCAACGTCCTCCCATGCACTTCTACTCCTCCAGACTCATGGGCAGGTCAGTGCAGAGGGTGCCCTCAGCATCTCAGCTCCCTCCATGTCCCACAACAGCTCCAACAGTGAAGATTCATTCACAAAACGTGCATTCATGCACAAAATGTAGCAGCAGCATATTGCATAGTCAAAGTTGGACCTTGAGAGACAGGGAAAAAAAAGCAAAAAAAAGCAGCTCATAATTACTTGGGTTATATTTGCCTTTCCAAAGGGCATAACATTTTACGTGATTCATTAAGATCAGGGCCTTGGGTGTATCTGTGAAGGCTGTGCTGGCACAGAAATTAATCATCTGAATGTATGGGGCTGGGTTTGATGATGGCTCCCGTGCCACCCGACCCTTTGGGACACTGTGCCAGCACTCAGCTCCAGGCACTGCAGCCTGCAGCCAGCCCTGAGGTGCTCATGTTCTCCCCTCCATGGCCCTTGTGCTGTTGTGATAACAATCAAAGTGGTTTAATTAGAAGGAAAGAGCTGAACCAGAGAAGCTCTGCTGTAATGTGGCTTGTGGGTATTTTTGGTCCCAGTCCCCACAGTTGGTGTTTCTCTGTAGCAGCCAGGATGGGACCATCAGGTCAATGATAGGATGTGCTGGGCTGCTCCCAAGGCCAGGGCTGGGGGCTGCCGGCCGTTCTGCAAAGCCTCAGGCTGCATCCAGGTGGGTCACAGTAAGGGGAAAACGATGCATGTATACAACAGTCGATTTCAGCCCAGGGTATTTTTGAGATTGTTTTATCATAAACTCAAAGATCTACTGCTGTTCTATTCCTGCATAACTGCATGAGTAATTAATTACCGCTGTACAGCAGCCCAACCTTTCGAGTATTTGCATTTCACATTGCATCCTTACTGGGAATAAGAGGTAACTGCACTCATCTGCAAAATGCCTCGGGTAACATTGATCATCAGGGGAATGGCAGAGTAAGGTGCACACTGTGTGTGTGTGTGTCACAGTGCCACTTCCCTGTCATTTCAGCTCTGTTTGTTAGCAGAAAATGTACTTTTTCTGCACTCCCTCCTTCAGCTCTAATCTCCTGCAGGAGGAGCAGAGGGTTTTGCTTTTCGAGTTGCTGCTGAGCTCTCTGACAGCAGCCTGTGCTCCATGAGCAGGAGCTGTTCTTTGCACTGGGGCAGGAGAGGAGGCCACGAACTGGTGCAAGCATCCCCAGGGCGACGTGTCTTTTGGCACAGGGTGAATCTCTGACGAATTCATTTGGTGAGATCTCACAGACTTTCCACAAACACATTCCTGACATAGGAGCTGAGAGACAGCTCCTAAAACCTTCACTAAGGTGGCATTAGCTCTGTTCTTCCATACAGAAATGGGGTTTGATCCAAATGTTGTAGGAACTTTTCTGCACACTTCAATGCCTTTTTGATCAGAAGCCTCGGTCCTTCTGGCACAAATATCCCTCCCCAGCGCTAAATCTCATTAGGAGTTGAAAAGACTGATGGAAACCGCACCACTGTAAGGGGAGGAAGGGCTGGGGTTGTTGCTCTTGTTTCCAGAGTATGAAATAAGGTATTGAATAATGAGTTTTTCTGGTGTTGCTTGAGTTCTGTGGGCAGATTGCTACAGCTGATTCCTAGCCATGCACTGTACAAAGTTACAAGCAAGCTCCCTTGGTGACACACGAGGTCAGGGAGACCCACATTGGCCTTGTGTGCACGGGGAGGCAAAAGGTACCAGTGCTGAGCCCTGGGCTGTAACCCCCAGCCAGCTGGTGCTGGTACAAAGCCTCACTGTGGGTGGGATACGCCATGCTGCATGGCTGCAGACTGGGCCAGGGCTGCCATGCAGGCGGGTGCTCCCAGGGCAGCAATGGTCATCCACAAATGCCCCAGAGGAGGAAATGATAACCGCAGACTTTCTCAGCTCAACACCGCAGGGCTGGCCACATTACGAATGAACTTTCTCCATTCAGACTCAGGTTTCATCACATTAAGAAGAAACAGAAGAAAGGCTGAAACTGGAGAGGGGATGGAAAGAAACAAAGAGCAGAGCAAAGCAGCGTTAGTCATTAGCAATAACATGTCAGGAGATCCTTTTCAAAAATAACATAAACAGCTCACTTCGCCTCCTACGTCAGAAATGGTGATTCCATATCTGTTATTCTAGAGAAAGGGCTGTTAACTATTAATAATACATACAGACATTAAAGAAAGCAGAGAAATGATGTTACACGGGTAAGCAAACTGACGATACCTTATCTTCAGCAACTTTGATGATTATTAAGCAGTTAAAGAGCATCTTAATAAGCTTGCAGCACGACAGAAGCTTGCAGCTTCAGAATGCTGTGCTCATACCAACCACAAAAGCAGATTTTCTCAGAGCAGGTGTGTAGTACAGGGCTGGCCATGACTTCTGAGAGACGCTCGCTTCTTTCAATTTCCATCTCTTCCCTCAAATTCATCCACTGCTCTGTTCTGCCTGCCCATCCCTGCCTCAATACCAATATATTTTCAACTTGTCCTAATGAAAAATCTGTGAAACAACAGGAGTGAGGACAAGGGGAAGGTAGACAGAGGAGCAGTGAGGGGCTGTCTGGGTGGGGAGCAGAGGTTGGAAAGGGGCAGCAGCTCAATCTGTCTTCATTTTGCTGTTTGAATGTATTTTCCTCCCTTAACTTTACAGCCCTGAGTCCATTACTCCTCCTGTGAAGCTGAAATTATGGGGAAGAATGGATCAGTGCATTTACTCAGTATCGTTATGTGTCAAGTACTATAGAAGTATTAAATTGGGAAGGAAATTTTAAAACCATTCTTCTGACATGAGTCACAGAAGTAAGCTATCAGGAGCCATGTCACAGGCTGGCAAGAAACATACAACATCTTTACGATTCTTCCTTTTATGGAACCCAAGCCATAAACAATAGAAACAAGGGAAGGGAGAGAATGTCATTTCATTAGAGTAAACGTGACACAAATTTAATAATGAATAATAGCCGTTATCTATAAAAATATGAAAAGCCATTTTCAAAATCATTAGCTCTAATTGCAAATGAATTTTGCAGCTTCTTTTCTATTTTGCATCCCTGTAATGAACTCTGATAAATTCAAGGGACTACATGTTAAATAAAGAGATAGAAGAGTCTAATTTGCTGCTTCATTAAACCGGCTTATTTCTAGAACATCTTGCTGTTGCTCTGAATTTCCCATCTCTGAAAGGTGGAGACAATGGAGCTATCTGTCTCTAATGTAGTGTGGCACACAATTAGGGATTCAAAAGGATGTGAATCTCTTTCCATCAGAGATACATGCAGCGATTATTATTTTATTACCAAATACTGTCAGCATTACATTTTTCCAACAGTTACTGTGACACCTGACTTGCATGTTAATTTTGCACAAAGCGTTATAAAAAAAGTCAGATGGAGTTTATTTATACCACATTATTTCTTCTTACGTAGGCCTTCACAGAGTCTGAACGTTCGTAGAGTTCAATACTGAAGATTTGCAGTCAGAATATAAAGATGATGCTCTGTCATGTGGATGAGGTTTTAAGGCAGTGATATAGCACAAGCTCAACTTTACAAACCATGGTCACAAATCAACAAAAAGCATATCTGAACCTCTATTCAGCAAAACACTTATACACATGAATCTCAGGCACTGTCCTTTGCAGGGATAAATTTTTATGCAACTAAAGATCTTTCAGCATCAATCAAAACTTACCTTTAGTCTTAGCTTTGAACTGATAAAGATGCTTTTTTAGATGCAGTATAAGCTTAGGTTTTACATCCACGATCAGAACGTGGCAAGTTATCCACAGGAAAGACTCACCTGGTAACCTGAAACACATCAACAAAAAGACATGAGGCATTTAGGGTTGCTCTCCATATATCCATGTCATATCTCTATGTACATATATTCCCTTCACATACCTACTGAATGATCAGCATCACCACTCGTACAATGGGGTTACATTCCCATGTAGATTGGTAATGATGTGTGCTTCCCTGTCTCACCATTAGTGTTAGAGCTGAGCGATACAGATCAGCTTAGAAGTTTGTGCTGCAAAGGAAGATGGACCCAGCTTTGACAACTCTACGCATAATAACTGTGATCACTTCGTCATGGAGAAGAGAGTCTCCAGCCAATCACATAACCCAAACTGCTGTGCCAGTATGATGGAGACCAAGAGCTGTAATATAATTTATAACTACACAGAGTAAAAAGGAGGGGAAAAAAACTACCAGAATATTGGACTTCACAAGTCAGGACATTCAAAATCATGGCTCCCGCAGCACCCATAACTTAGCTCCCTGCACATATGTAGCATGTACAGCAGGGTAGGAGCTCATATTTATGCCTCGCTCTTGCTCTGCCAGAAGCAGAATTATGGCTGCTGAGGGAACTGTAACTTTGATTTTTGTGACTTTTGTGCATTGAATCTTTAAGAAAAGGAAAAAAAAGTCACCTGTTTGGATGGTGGCAAATGGATCTCCTCCATTTGCCTTTATTTCCTCTCCTCCTGCCTCTTCAGGCCCAGGTAAAACTGTGGATTTTACACAATGAGAGAGGAATAGTTGTTGAAAAGAAGAGATGGCATCTTTGCATATAATCCCAACCCACACGGGACCTTGGCAGGAAGACTGCCTTAAAAACACAACAACAGCCTTGGGAGTGAGTTTCTATTTACAAAATAGTGCTCACAATCACCATTTAAAATAAATCTTACCCTCTCCCTGCAAGGGACTTAGAATAACCTCCAATATACAGCTAACTGGAAGACATTCACAACCTTAGTTCTAAGTTCATCAAGATGAACATATTCACAAATGGAGCAAGCAGTGGTGAAAGTCTGAGCCTCTATTTCAGAGCCATTTACCAGCACCAGTTGCACTGCGGCGTTGGAGAGGTGAAGAAGACTGCATTTTCCTTTTCTGTCTGCAGCGGTAGTAGCTCTTATGTTGCCTTTTTGCTGGAAATGCTACTTGGGAGATTGGCACATACCTTCAAAGAAATTTTCTTCTGTTTCTCTTCCCAGTGCTATTAAGAAATGCCTGTTGCAGTGGCTCAGATGTGGTTGCAGTGAGGGGAAGCCTTTGCCGAAGGCTGCAGGAACCAACGCGAAGCTTCCTGATGGCTTGGATAACCTTTAGGTTGTGTCTTAAATTGCTTCACCTCTTCAGCTTCTCTACTGCCTTCCCAGCATTCCCATCACAGTGCTGACAACCCTCATGTAACAGCAGCAAACACAGCAGTGCACGCGTCCATGCCCTGCTCACAGCTAACTGCAAGGAAAAAAAAAATAGGTAGTGCTAACAAGGTTAACGTGTGGTGTTTTGATGTGCTGGGGCACACTGCTGGGATGGTTGGATTTGTGACCAATGTTTCTCATTCCATTGGGTCATTTATTTGTAGGAGGAAGAACAGAAAAGAAAATTAACCTGGACACTGCCTCTGTCTCCCTGCACAGCAATGCTTTCCTGTGGAGGCCCCACTGATTAAAAAAATGCTTTTAATTTGACTTCCTGGAACATTATGTTATTTTCAACTCCAATGTGGGTTTATTTCAGGCATATTTCAGGAGCTTTGAATGAACAAAGATGCAAGAAAATGTATTACATTTGGGAAAATCATACAAATGGTAAATGTCTTTTCAAATAAGTTATAATGATATTTCAAGGGCAGTTTAGACCTATTCAAATCGCACATTCTCATTACCATTCTTAGCAAGAGGCATAAGTCCTTCAATCTCTGTGTAGTTTTGCTACTCTCTCCCCACAATTTTCAATTTCCTTACAACTATTCATCTGATTTATTATTTCCCTCCTGTATTCTAAATGCACTGTAACCCCATACATTTGTTTCACTCTCTCAGTTTCAATACTCAAGGTCGTTAATACCCCCAAATCTTCTTTGCTTATAACACAACTTTAAATGTGCTCTTTCTTGCCCAGTGGTTTGTTACACAATTACCAGTGCCAATATCATCTTGTTTTTATAGTTTTACGATTAAAGACATAAAAATGAACTCAACTGAATAAAAGGTAAGAGCATGCTTGCAATATCTGTGGCAAGGCTGCTGCTGCTCCTATTGCACAGATGATACGGAGAGATGCAAAATTAATCTTTTTCAGCATGGTGCCCAAAAGTTAACTAAGGCAAAATGAATTATGCAGCACTAACATTTGGCCCTTCTGATTAAGTGCTACTTAAACACATTTCAAGTTTTAAATCGATCACTTTGCACAGAGAGGCAAAGTGCATGTCAGTCCAGGTGGTCCAAGCGTGCTTTGAAAACTGAGCATCCTCACCAGCCGTGTCCCCAAGTGCCACCCCCACATCTTTGCCACCACAGCCCAGGCATCGTGCCCTAAGCCATCCCAGCTGGGAGCCACACGAGGCCCCAGGGATGCTTGCCCCTTTCCTAGGAAGGAGAGCACACACAAAAGGCAGAGAGCCTTTGGGGCAGCTTGCTCCAGGTGCAGGATGGAGCCATCTCCCCTCTTTCCACACCCCGTGCCCTCTCTCAGCTCCCCAAGGCACAGCTGACGCAGGGAGCCCCAGGAGCTCTGCAGGGCTGGGGGAGGAGTGAGCTCACTGGACAAGGAAACCATGCACAGCAGGGACACATCCGTTTTCCCTCCTGCTAGCCCAAATCCTCCCTTTGAATCACAGCTTTGGCTTAAGAACAGGAGGTTTATGTAAACATATAGCTTGCTTTCAGTCTGAGGTGCACAATTCCTTCCTCTCTTTTATTTTTTTCCCCATGCAACCCACAGACCCGGTATCACACCCAAACACAGCAGCCCTTGCTACTCTCTTCTGGGGGATACAATGCACCACCACCTGGATACTGCTGTCACTTCTGGCTGGTAACAAAGCAGGCTCCTTTAGATCCTGGAAAAGTTAAGTTAGAAGCAGCCTCAAACCAACCCTAGCTACATCCTCTCTCCCTTACCCTACAACATCAAGCAAATGTTGCACGAAGTTACCAACCCCTATCAGGACAAGAGGAGGCACCACTACACCCAGCCTCCAGGCAAGACCCTGCCAAGCTGAGCTCCCCTCCTCAGGACCTGCTCATTTAACATTCCCTAACAAGGTCTACAGCCCCACGTGGCTGGCTGGCTCGGTGCTAACAGACCGTTAAAGCAGTCATTAGAGAAGGGCTGTGCTTGCTCTTTGGCCTTCAGAGCTCAGATGAGCTGCTGGCTAGGCTCCTTGAGGAGCATCCTTAAGAAAATAACGTCTGATGACAAATTTACAGCTACAGCAACTGCATGCTAAGTGCGCTTTACCCCAGCTAGTTGCGTGTCACAAGTTGTCAGTACAGATTGGTGGGAAAAGAGTATGAAATATTCATGAAGTTATCAATGGCACCGAGATACCCAGTTAATTATGCTGCTCAGCACTTCCTCGCAGGCTCAGAGTGCCCAGCCCGACTTCCTCATTAACATAACGGTTTGATTGTGCCTTTATGGCAGCCTCCGAACCACTGACACACCGCCATGCTCTTGGACCAACTCCATCTTAATTAGCTTTGCTGCCACTGGAATTAGGCGACATGTTGTAGAAGTCACTTAAATTAACTCCCGACTCTTCCTCAGACAGATGGGGCCTCAGTACTCGTGCCTGCCTATTACGTTTGTTTAATCATTCTTTAAAGGACTGTCACAAACAGGCAGCATGCCATAACGTGTGGCTGCGTCAGAAATGTGACCTTATCTCCAGTGCTTTCTGAAAAAGAATGTGTTTCTTAGAAGGTATCTGCATTTCTCAAGGCAACACATGCTGAGAGGGACTACAGCATCGCCTCCCCGAAGCTCTCTGCTGTGCTAGCAACTGCAGGACAGCTGGAAGAAGCCCAAATGGTGCAAGATGGGGAATTCTTAAGCATAACAGCCCAGATTTTACACTCAGTGGACTTTAATTTGAATTTTAAAAAAAAACAAAAACAACTTTGAACAGTTTCTACAAATGTTATAGTTTGACTTGATGATCCTGAAGGTCTTTTCAATCCTAAATGATTCCCTGATTCTATGATTAGCAGTGCTGAGAGTAACACAGCAACCTTTCAGAAAGGGAGACTGGTTGTAGCCCTGTATTTGTGTGCAGGAGAGAACCAAAATCAGCAAACTAACATTCAAGAGACTTTTCTGAGATTTGGCCATCTACTAGGCTTCATCTGGAGTTACAAGCAGACAGTGCTTTTAGTTTGCAGCATTTTCCATATATCTATATATATCATTAAAAATTAAAAAAAAAAAATAAAAAAAAAAGCAACAACAACAAAAAAAAGATGAGAAGTTTGCTTTAGTTTCTCTCTGCAGATTTGCTTTCAAGCTGCAGCTTCAGTCAGGACCAGTTTTTGAAGTTCAGCTGGCTCTGACAGCACACTTTGCTGTGCATGCAGACCGTGCGAGGCAGAACATTCCTGCAGTGATGCTCAGCCCTCCATGCTCCTTGCCCTATCCCATGCAATGCAGGGCTAAGCAGCAATTTAAATAGAACTGTCACTTGCACAAGCAGAGCTGGCAAAGACCTCCGTGAACATATGTTTGGAGACTTTAGCTCATTTCTCTCAAGGTATATTGCAAGATAGCAGCAATGCTATCATTCTTGCCTGATGTGATTTTATCTTACTGGTAGGACCACAGAACAGCATCTGAGAATCTCCCAGACTGCAGCTTCAAAAAGCATGACTTCCGCCATTCACTTGGAAACTTCATCCTATGTAGGCTGACTTCAGTGCTGACACTGCTGCCGATTTGCTCAGATTAATTTTGGAAGGCAGGCTTAATCTGCCATAGTGTGGCCTGTCTGCTACAAGTTATCCTGCTTTACTCCAAGCAATGCAGACCCTGATGCAGCAAGGCACTTAAGTACTTGTTTAAGTGTCATCTCATTCACTGCATGGGCTGTAGCACTCGCTGAGTCAGGGATACAGTGCTTCAAAATCCTCCTGTTGTTCTGTGGCAGGACTGGATGTGGTGTGGTACCACTGCAAGGTGAGGGTGCTGGCTCTGGGCCATGTTCTCAATGACCCAGAGCTGCCCCAATGAGCATATTGGCTTTTGGGGGAGTGGGGATGGGTGCTGCCCAGCTGCAGCTATGCTTCTGTACCCTGTGGAATGAGTCTATCAAACTGAAGTGGGTTTGGAAGCCACTCTCCTAGCTCTTGCTCCATTTGTGGTGTGGCATTAATTCCCTGACCTATTCTAAGACGTACCGTTATTCCTGTAGTGACTTCATGTGCTTCATGACTTTCTGCCACAAAGTGAGATCAAATTCTCTGTCTGCGGACCCACAACTCTCATCAACTCACTTTTCATGGCTCCAGGGTCACCATTGCCTTCTCACCATTGCCTTCCCTGGGCAAACTGCCTTGTCTATAAAGGAAAGAAACAACTATCCTCTACACAATGGTGCGCAATAAGGACATGATTAAACTATACTGGGTGCTGAGAGGCAAACTACTACACTATGATGTTCAAAAAGCCAGAATAATGTGATGGTTATAAAGACAGACAGCTCAGGCAAAGACTGCCTAGAGCACAGAATGATTGTCAGGATGGGCAAAAATGTAGAAAATCATGTGAGTGTGTAAGCTGCCAAAGCCAATTAATCCAAAGAACATTTTGCAACCATTAGGCTTCTATTACTGTGCATGCATCATAATTACTATGGGTCTGTGTGGATATGATGGCTGATCTTTAACAATATCGGGTTTTCATTTGACCTTTAATTATTTTCGTTGCATTTGTTTGTGTCGAATCGTTGCAGCATCTGAAGTTTGAAAAATCAACTCGTTTGTAATTTGTCATTTCAAGTGGTGCTGCAAAAGAGCACTGATATCCTCCCAGGAGCAAAGGTGAGGAGTGGGGAAGGGATGCTGCTGTGCTGTCCTGTCTCACGATACCTTACAGCAACTCTTGCTGTTACCATCAGAGCCTGAATAATATCAGAAACATGGCGACCAAGGAAACTTCTGCTGATAGAATTGTAAGGAGAGCACTTTTGTTCGGCAGCTTTAACTTGGGCATTGATCAAGCCACAAGTCAAGAGTTGTCCAGCAGATCCTGGCCTATGTGGAGCTGACATCTCCTACACAGCAGGTCACTGCAAAGCATCTGTCCACTGAAAGTTCCTGTCTTGGTTTCCTGCCTGAGATACCCGGACCTGCAGTCTCCGCAGTCATTGCTACCTCCCTGAAACTCCTCCCAGATGACTTCCAGTCTAAGGCTCTTACTGTTTTCTGTTCCTCTAACATTTATTCACATTTGTT